TTCGCAGGTCAGACCTGTCTGGTGATCCCGCCAAGCGCTCTACGTATCGTCTCCCCTAAAATATATGTTTTAAATCACTCCCTGGATGACGGAAATCTGTGGTTAATACCTTCAATTCATGAATATAGACTAGCCAGTCCCCTCTGATGAGTCCTCTTTCAAAACCTTTCTATAGCAAAACATCGAATGGCAATCATCGCTGCCATTCTGGTCATCCTACTGATTGTTTTACCGATCTTCTGCATCGTCATGTTCTGTCTGCTCTGCCGCTGCAAGAAAGGCAAACTCGTCCTCCCAAAGTCGGGTCCCCTTCCGTCTCCCCTCAGTTACGCTACTAAGAGGACCACGGACATAAATACTTGCTGCGCCTCCCTCAGGTAAGGAATTAATGTCAAGTTGTACGCAAACCACCCCGCGCGGGTATTGTTGCCTTTGTTTCGAGCGCTGCTTTTCCTCCTCCAGTCCAACTCTGCTACTTTCCTCCGCGAGTGTATGGTGGACAACTAACTGTGCTTCCGCTAGTAAAGGTCTGGGTTCTGGATACTGCGCGGGAACTGTTGCTCGAGAGATCGCGCTGCGTTTAATTCCACGACCTGCTCCAAATCAGTCGTAGGTCAGACATTCAGCCGTTACTATTTATGCGCTGTAACGTCAGACCCGAGCGGAGGCTAGACTGTAGTTTTGCCCGCGTGATGTGTAAGTCTTGCGTTATTTCGCCGAACCTCATCTGCTGTCGGCTCGACCGTGACTTGCCAATGGTACGCGACGGAGGCAGGATGGGAAAAAAAGGAAACTTTCACCGCGCGAACCCTTCTGCCGTAACCTTCGCGTGCAGTACACGTCGGCCACCACTCCCGATCTCATTCCAAGCTGGCTTGATTCGAGTGGTCCACTGGCGCATGAAGGAAGTTAATCCAGCTCGGATACAGCACATAACTTTCCCACGATGAACAAGCCGACACACTTTTGAACTATCACGATGCGCTCGCAATCGTCACTGCGAAAGTTGCCAGCTAAATCCTACTCAGGATCTAGGATCGGACCGCAATATCTCCATTTTAATGTCTTTTATGACGCTCACATACTCGAAACTAAAGATCCCGATTGATGCACAGTAGGTGCAGAGTTAGCGACTCGGCGGCGTGTGGTACACGTAGACATGGCTTTGGCCTCGCCAGTCACTATGACCGCATCCATTTCCATTTGAGCATGGTGAGTGTCGGACAGGTGAGATGGATTCAGCGGAAGTCCGTCCCAATACAAACGAACTCGCGGATAAGCAATCACTGTCTTTCCCGAGACACTGGTAACCCTCGTCGCTTTCTGCAAACGAACTTTCATCCACTCTACTGGACGTCAGCCTTAAAGCTAGGGGAATGCTCTGCAAATATCAGTCAGTTTTGAGTGCATGAAACTGTCAGGGGGAGATTTATAATGATCCAATTTGACATGTTTCAGGGTACAAACCTTGAGTCGGTTGCTTTTGTTGAAGTGAAAAAGCCCCCACGTCGATCAAATGGGCCGCAGCCTCAGAGCTCCTCTTGCTCATATTCTTATGATCATTCACATGGGCGGATTTAGATCCTGAATATTATATTATCCATTTAACGTTTTAGGCAGACGGGGCTTAAGAACTGTAAGTGATTCTATTACAACAGACTACTAAAATAAAAAATCGCAGTCTCCCTGGGGCAGATGTTTTTCCTGGCTATGTAAACTTCCTACTTTCATAGCCGCTTTTAAAGAAATTGCCTAACCTTTTAAGTGTTCCAAAAACCTATACTAGCGATTTGTTTCTAACATAGTTTACACTCCCTACGATGACGTTTCCGCGCAACCCTCTAAGACGATGGGCCGCGTCGACTGTATTTTATTTCATTACTCGAGTGTTACTTATATCTTTCTCACTGGAACTAGTAACTAATGCAAAGTTTTCTGCTCTCCAATGCTTTACAGTAAGTGCTGTCGCAAATGTGTTCCACGCCTGAACAACGATCCGCCGATCATCTGTGCTTTCGGCCCGCTAAACAAAGATATCGGTGAGATACATGAAAATGGTCTCAGTCCGAAATCGCCGTCTGGAAACGGGTACGTCAAGTCTAATGGTGCGGCAGCACCTGCGCGTAGCCGCCATCATTCAAATAATCGAGCCCACCCTACTGGTTATCGGGACGAGTATTCGGCAGTAGGTAAATCAAAGCCTGGCTACCTGCTCGATATAGAGGCAGCCTGGGCCGCAGCTGAGGTCCAAGCTGCAAACATCCAGAGCTCTGCGCAATCTCAGCCTGTCGCAGGCGATTTGAAGCCGCCGGCCCCACACATTGAGATCTCCTCGCCGCGGCTGCAGACGACAACCTTTCGCGGGGAGACGCAGACCCTGGCAGCGGCCAGCAAAAATCAACAGCGAGCCGCAGCTCAGGCAGCAACGACACTCAACGCCGAGAAGGGGTCTTCCCGCAAGCGGGTTGGTAAGATGAGGGCCCCAACTCAACCAATCACTTCGTTCGGAGAGCTGGGGCCGTTGTCTCCACCGGCGCCACCCTCGAAGGGGAGCGCGAAACCCAGTTCCAAGGTCTCACGTTCCAAATCCATGAATCACCAGCCCCCCACGCCTCTCACCGTGGAGATTTCTGCGCCCACACTGCAAAACACTACATATAATCATGCACTTCTCGAACTGCCCGAAGCCTACTCTACTCTACGGCGCCCCAAGAAACAACAGCATTCCACCACAAAACCCAAAGAATTTAAAAAGTTTGGCCGTTAGAGCCTCCCACTTCTATCACTCTGTGCTCCTGGGCCAGCCAGATCAGCCATTCCTACTACCTCAAGTCTTCTTTCCTCATTATGACGGTGCATAAACACTCTGGCCGCCACTTCCTGTAAAATTGCCATCGGATGACAGTTTCTAAGCCCGTACGTGGTCTTTGAACGTGAACAAGGCAAGCAAATCGGGACATCGCGTTTGCAGACGCTGGTCTTGAGTGTTCCGCCAAGGTATATAGACGCGCATTTTGAAACTTGACTTCTGCGCCCATCGGTTCCGCAACACATTCCAGCTTAAATTTAGTGAACATGCTTGCATATGTACATGCACACTCAACTGTAACCGCCTCTCTCTCCCCGCACCTATGTCGTCTTATTCAGCTTTCACGCCGTCCCTCTACCTCGCTAGGAAACAGTTTATACCACTGAAATCAGTCTCTTCCCTCCTTTTGTTTTCGGGCTCATCTCCCCTAACAATTGCCAATGCTCCACGCTTCGCCCGCCCGAGTTCTTGCCTCCTCCCCTCGCCCAAATCTAACTTCTGCATAGGTTTTCTATTTTTTCCGCTTGTTTTGCTGTCTGATTGCCGTCCTTTCCTTTCGGCCTATCTGAGCCCATATATTCCCTTCTACACTCAACTGTGATCTGCGTTTGAGTACTGACATCTTATCCCAAAGAAATTATAGGACCTACTTAGCGTAACGTCTCTAGCCTTTTTGAATTCTACTTCTGTTACTTCATTCGTGGGACGTCCCGTTCATGATTCAGTCGTACTTTCCGCGGCTTTCTTGGGTACTTCGTGCGACACCAACTTTGTAGTATTAAAGCGACGCAACTGAAACTACTGACCAAGCCGATCACTACTGCAGACCATTTAATCATGATTAGTTATAAAAAAATCAAAGCCAGAAGAATAAATATCCGGTCCCTGAGTGAGTATGCTGACGATCTGGGCCACCAAAGGGTGATTCTTCGTAGTGTTAGCCGGCCAGTATAACCTCTATTGATATTTTATCTCATTTGGCGTCGCCACCCTGTCGCGTTTAACTCCCGGCTGGGCAGATGCAAGATTTGAACCGGGACTCAGTTGGTCATCGAGCCAACGCTCTGCAGCTGAGCCACGAGCTCATATCCTGTCGGCTACAATCGGGAATAATCGAAGTCAGACGGGAGCAGTGCTCGCCCATCTGTCCTTATTGTACGCCACTCTCATGTGACCTCAATTATTCCCGATTGTAGCTGACAATGTGAGCTCCTGGCTCAATGGTGAAATGTTGTTTCGATGACCAACTCGGTTCGTCCTATCCGGGCTGACAAAGTGACCATTCCTATCTGCCTTGATTTTGTTGGCAAAGTTTCTCGACCACTTCTTGCCTATTGCTAAGTGACCGCCTGCGAGGACTGAACTGGAGTTTCAAGGCCAAACGGGACGCCCGATTCCGGCCTGCTGCCGGGACATATCGATGAACGTCACTCCAGTACTAATCCAAAGCTTCCCTATTCACATCCACACAATCTCGACAAGTGAGCCAGTACTTGAATGTTTTTTTTTGTACAGGGAGAACAGAACAGATGGGAAAGCCACATACCAAGGCGGGGAGAGATCTTGCTCAATTGTGAGTGCTATCAAAATACATCGCGAATTCCATCCGCCTATAATATGAAGGAAAGGGAGAATTTAGTCAGAACGCTAGACCATAAAAGGAAGGCTTACAAAGATCTGTTGGAATAGACAAAATGAGTAAGTCTTTTCTTTGGCACAAAACGCTACATATTCAGTGATGGGATTGAAGTTGAGCGGCGTACTACCAGCTCAACCGTTGCATAAACCTAGATTGGCAGATTTTGTAAACGTCAAACTTATGGCACCACGGTCACTGAGTAAACATTACAGAAATATTTTGGCCCAGATACGTTTCGATTCTAAAACCGCTTTTTGCATATGTACAGCTAATGTCTACATTATGTTCGAGGACTCCTGCCTCGCCGCCCCCCTGGCAAGTATCGCTTCGGTGGGCACGTGCTGTCGTCTCGTTTCTCGAGCACCAGCTAGTCCACTATGAAGTACAGTCACTACTTTGTCGCCAGTTATGTGTCATCGATTGACAGGGATGAGTCGGTGGTTATTATTGATGACTTCATTGGTGGGTGAAAAAAGTAACACGCAAAGCGTCTTCTGAGAAGGCATTTCTAATAAACGGGCATGTAGTGTGCGGCTGAGAGAAAAACGTGAGTCAACGCACGGTAACTTGGTAGCGCGCTGTGCCGGGCGGCCTACCCGGGTGTTTTAAGAGCTTGGCCCTCTGACCTCCGCCGGCCGATGAACGCTCCAATAGCAGTCTAATGGAGCAGATGTGGCCCCAGCTGTCTCCCAGTGCGGGAACAAGTTGGTTTCCGACGCTCTCATTGAAAGGCGCATCGCGGCAGTCTATGGCATTAAATCGTGTCGTTATCTGGTTGGTGACAATAACCTAAAAGAAAAGAAAATATTGAAGCGGTGCACAGGTTGGTATGTAGAAATGTGACATAGTAGACAAGATCACCAAGAGGCTGGCGTGTTAGGCGGCGTAACTGACGTGCGAAACCCCACCTAGGATCTTTGGTATTGGTAAAGTCATGCAATTCATTTTGAAAATTTGTCCAGAAGACTGATGTCAGGCGCTCATGGCACGATTTTTATGTTCGATAACTTTAACATAAAAATTTGAACTGGGGCGTACCAACTTTGAGGAGTGACTAGATATTTGTGACCGTCAATTCGATAGTCAGTGATACACTTTCGAATTATTCTCCAACTGTAACTTACCGCCGCGTTCTGGGAGCCGGCTACTGATAGAAGAACCTGAGAGAGGGCTGCCAGAAGGCGATTTCTTTGGGGAGCGCAATCAAATTCGTAACGGAACGGCAGGGCTACGCTGTCAACGACAATGAGACGAACCTGCAAAGTAAGTAGTAAGATGCGGTGAGATCTCATGACAATTTGCTCAAAGGGGTTGTAAAAGAGGCCTACTAAAATGAGCGGGGGGCAATTTGTTATGATCGTCCACAGGGCGGGCAAGATTAATGATTTTGCTTGCACCAATAGTGTTTGGGCGTCGAGCCCTAAAGGGTTGTATTCTAAGCTCGTTGAGAGCTCTGGGCTTCGCGTGACCCGTTTGGGAAAATGGATAATATTGAGGACATGAAGAGTTTGGAGTGGATGGGGATTCTCGACCTGATGCAGCTTTCTAAGGCGAAGCTTGTATTTTATAAGGGCCGGGGGTGTAAAAAAACGTTTGGACGGAAGGCTCTTGGGCATGACATTCAACCAACGACAGTATTGCAAATCACCCGATTTTTACATTTCTAGATCTATTGCAACTTTACTCGCAATCTGTTTCACATGTCCCGCCATCTTTGTACAATCAGTGGACTGGCGGTTCGCACAAAAATCTCAAGACTCTGCAAATGCAGTGGACAAATTTGTGCAGCGAAGTCTTACCAACGTCAGGGAGGGTATGCCCATTTGTCACATCACCATGTGACATCGTCCGTACTGATTACGCGTAGCCTTCATTAGACGAACGGGATCTGTGGGTTGATGGATCCCACAAGTTTTAGTTAAACTTGCAAAGTAAATAAGAGAGTAGTCTTCCGCCATATCACGCTTCGACTTTCGCGGCTACACTCTATCGATGATTTTACGCCGCTTCGCAGATTTCTGCGGACAACGGGACTTTTCTGGTGCATGTTTTCTCGGTTGGTCTGATCAGTTGTTTTTATTTTGGGACGCTATTGGCGAACTGTTAAGAAGCCACTCCATCAGGGCACGAGGTTAAGCATCCTGGGAGAGTAGCCCTAGATTCCGTTTTACAGAGTTCGTATTCTAGAAATGCGACACTAACATTAAAGGAGTAGTCATAATACATCCAATATAGCGAGTGTATTACTCTATGTTGCAGTAAAAGTAGTCGTTTTTGTCAAGACATGTACTATTACAAAACGCTTAAAACTGTACTATGTATAAAAATGGCCAGAAAACAAATCGCTTTTACTTCGTGGATTTTTGCTTTTCATGTGGGGTTCTGGGACATAACTCTCGCGATCGAGGAGGGATCACTGCAAGGGATTCTGCAGAAGCGTACAGACGATGTAACTTAATTTAGGTATTCGAGCTTCTTTGGGATGTTATTTTTGACAGGGTCTCCAGCTTTCCTATGAAGCCAACTGCTGCGGAAATAGAATCATACGGCATCGTAGTTGGCTTAACATGTCAAAGTAAGCCCAAACGAATCAACCGATGTTTGTGAATAAATTATTCTCTCATCCCGGTGTGGGCTCTGAGAATCGGGAATCATGCTAAAGTAAGTTACGAATACGACTGTTTTTGTCGTCATACGGGAGTATTTGCCAGGATGAAAGGTTCAAGGTTCATGGACACCGACTGTCATAATTATTATTCGAGAACATCGCGGCTCAGAGTGCCACTCGCCCTGAAGAAGCTGTGGCCGTGATCAAGGGTAAAGCAGGCGTCTAAGAGGAAGTTATTGGCAATAAAATAACGATGCATTACGTTTTCCGAAGATGACTGAGGGGCGCCGCCGCCTACAACTGGTCACCATGCCCGACAGCAGTGCCAGAGAACCTCGCAGAAACTCGAAAGTGAGATTTTCAAATTGAGTCGCCAAATTTCGGATTTAATTCATTCACAACTTTCTGTCTCAATTCAGAAAGTGCAGTAAATCCGACCCATTTATCCGTGGTACTTAATGAGACCATAAAGATGACAACAGTCCGTACGCTTTCAAAGTAGGATGAATATGTGTTCCAACCATAGAACCCGACCGTCTTTGAGGCACACTGGTCGTCACTATCCCCGCCTTCCCTCCCTCCCATAAACTGCCCACCCGGGGTCTTAATCCCGGGGGAAAAGTGGAAGTCGGGGTTTTTTGGGTGGAAGCAAACAACATCGCATGAATGGCTTTGGGGGCGGGCGATGATTTCAAATTCGTGTAAGCGCCAATTGGTCACGCGAAGTGAAACCTCCTCAAAACTGCAGCCCCATCGAATGAAGGGAGGTATCAACGTGGGCGGTCATAAGTGTGGCGGTGCAGCACGTACTGCAAGCGACCAAGTCCCAACCCCGGCAACTGACCAATGAAATAAACGTTGTTCAGTAGAAATTCAATCCCCCAGCGACCCTCAAGTGCCGTTTACTGTACACAGAGAAAATGAAAAAATTGAGCGCAATATTTCGAGGCCGCCCAACTCAGATCGCATGTCTACAGTAGGAAAAGTGCATGCAACTTAAGTCGTCATTTTCTACCGAGTGCGGTTTCTATGTGTCAAAAAGGCGTACATCCAAAAGCCAACATCCTGGTGAGTCCGAAATACTATAGGATTAGGCTGCACGCTAATCAATAACAACCCTACCTAATCAATCCTTCCTAATCGAAAACGCATTTCAGAATTTCAGCCAACATTTCATGGGATCGGTCACGCACTGCATATCTAGCCAATGACTGGCATCCTTCCTCCTAATCACTCTTCCAGGAGTATAAAGGAGGAATAAATAACTAATGCACGAAATGTTACCATTTTTTGTTTTCTAAGACCCTCTACAAAATTGCATAAACTCTCCTCCCCCCTCTCTCACACACGCACACTTGGCAGTGAGGCGTTCCGTCCTTAAGGATGGTGGGTCATATGGGAGATTGGGGGTAGAGGTGTAGTGCGCTGTGGATGACAAGGTTCCGAGCTATGGCCAGGAAATATATTGCGCAGTCTGCCGTCTCTCCGCATAAAAGTAATCCGAGGGCGCTGTTAAGTAAGCCGTAGTACGGTGAGGTCAAGCGCGTCCGGATGACTAGCGTACCGAAAACCTGCAACCAGACTGACTGTGAGTTTACGATAGGTCTTCGCCAAATCCCAGCCCCTGGAACACATATTGTGGGAGAATCGGTGCAGATTTTTAACTGCTGTAAGGCAGCGTACGTTGGTCCAATCATGGCCACGTCAATGATGGAGTATGTATACGTGTCAGAAGGGGGGAATCAGTCGTTTTGGGAAATTCGAGGCCCGAGTGGCGGCGACCTGTGAATCCCTGTCTGAACGCTAGCAGCATGGACGAAAACATAGTAATACAGCTTAGTTCGCGGCCATTAGAAACCTTAAGCAATAAAAAGGCCCTGGTGTGGTGTTTGGCAAATTGGAAACCCCCGTGGCCGCCCGCCGCCACGGGAGATGTGTGCCTGAATTGGCGCTTGGATTTTTGCTCACTACGACGGGCCTAATGTGTAGGAAAGCCGCCGACACCATCGCAGTCAGCGCTCACTGTAAGCCCAAACGCGATGAAACCTGGTGTCCAATTCCCTAGGGCTTGGCGGAAACACAGGCCGTGGTAAACGGCGCGTCATGCGGTAGCGGATGGTTAGACGCCTGCCCATGATTACGCACTGGATGACTAAGAAGTTGGGAGAGCGCTGACTGTGAAATCAAAAAGTACAACCGGACACCTTTCTCAGATATGTTACTGTTAGTGATAGCAAGGGCATTGCCTATAACCCTTAAAAACATGCTGAAATGTACGCTCTACGAATAAATAAGTTGTTCTAGCTGCTTTGACAAAATTAGTAGCGAGGCAACAGATGTTTGCAGTTTTCAAGGGTAACAAGAAGCGCATCTAACCGATGCGTTTTCGTTTGTCGTTATATCATAGGGCTTAGAATATATTATACTGAAAATGTTTGTTAGAGTCAGAGGCATACTATCCCATCCCTCACTTTGGCGGCTAAGTGTGTGGTTTAGGTCGACGCGGCTAAATGGCAGAGAGAATCCGTGCTCCCGATCGAGCTTAGAACCTTGCGTTTTTTCGCTTCGGCACGGACAACCCAGAGCAGCCAGGGGCACGCTTGAAATTAAGCTCTACGGCGTAGACTGCGTGCAAACCTCCTCGTCGATCAATAAGACTACTCTTGAGATACGCAGGAGAGTTTTAAATGTTAGACACCGTTAGATCAATCCATTTTGGTAGCGACCATCGAAGACACAATGAGCCAGCTTTCCAGAGGAATCAATATCCAAATTCGTAGTACAGTACTGACCGGAAGTAGGTTTAGTTGGCATAGCCGTCTGCCGAAACTAAACGATTTACCTACGACAACAGTAACAATGATGCGTACCAACCGCGTTTTTATTACCTATCGCCATAACTGAAGTAGACAACTCCGAGGTCTACGGCATTGAAGGTAAGTGCGTCCAACGCTCTGTGGTGAGAGGTTGTTGGCGTTGCATTCTGGAAAACTAACCACTGCTGCAACCTAGACCCTTCTCGGGCATGAAGCCACTGCGCCACTTTTATTTTTCGCTGGCTGTCAAGCCAAAGAGGGCAGGAAATGAGAAGGATGAGGCACACACGAGTTCACCCCTTGGGATGCGTGACCAAACCATTCAAGGTGGCGTGCTTTTATCGGCTGAAGAAGCAGTGGAGTAATCTGGCAGTGTTGCGATATATTACTTAGTGATAGTTCGATCGTCGCATCCGACGATGTCCACCGTGTGGTCCATAGCAAGGTAAAGCCGGCACGGCGCCTTGTGTGCGAACTAGTTTATTGTGAGGACAGACTTGCACAGCATCCATCGCACTCTCCCCTCCTCCCACAACTGGGTCCGGTGTCAAGACAGAGCCTAGAAGACCGGAGGTGGGGAGGGCGCAGGTGGATGGCACGGCCGAACCCGCACCTGGGCGCCCCCACTCCACACCCTCTGGTCCACAACAAGCACTTGACCAACAACAACAGCACAACAACGGGTCAGAAAGACGACGAGGATGACTGGGCAGCCTTGGATCTTACCTAGTAACCGCACTTTAACTATCAATAGCTAGTGCCATCGACCCAAGAAGCTCTCAAGCAGCACCGAGTTCCCACGGCTTGTCGGTCGAAATTTTTGCATTATTCGCAGAAGGTAGTGGTAAAAAAATGTCGAGATGTTTAAGGTCGCTGACACGCGGTGAATGAGTTTCGCAGCCATATATGCGAATGGAGACGACTGTAGTCTTCTGTACTGTCTTCTTCCTTTCCTGCTATAAAAACAATAGTGCGCGAGAAACAGACACTTCCTACAGCGCAAGGTTCTCGCAGGGTGTTTGCCTGCACACAAAGCGCCCATGATTAAAAGAATGGGTGCCCAGAAACAGGCTGTGTTTTCCTAAAGGAGTTTCCAGTCTGTGCAATTTGGGCAACGCAATCAAGATCCAGGGCTGCAGGGGCACCATGGTACTCGTAGTGTTGCAAACAGGGTAACGTATGTAGGCACAACTGCAGCATATGCTTCGCCGACAACCGTCAGGAATGGTGGAATGCAGAAACACGGAGTGCTCTTACCGGCTCCGTGATTGGGATATTCTCCGGCAGAAAATAACGGAGGCAGCACACGCCAACGGCATGGCTTTGTACGCTGGCATCCCAACCTAGACTGAGCTAAAGGCGTTTGGACGATAGGAAGGAAACATGAGGCCAAACGTTCCTATTAACTTACATCCGGATGATAACGGCAGAAATCTTGAAGCCGTCTGGCTGCGGCAAGGAGCTGAAGGTAGTCGGTGCAGCGAATGTAGTGCACACCGCGAAGCAGCTTCTCCGGAGTTGGAAGACTTGCCAACGCCTTGGCATACTGCGAGTCCTCGACTGTATCTGCCGATTCCCTTCCTACACGTGCAAAGATGACAGAGAGTTGCGATTTTGGGCTTGCAATTGATACTTAGAAAGGGTCTATAATTTGCTAGGTTTCCGCCTAAAACGGGCCACGTGGTAGATGCGCTTGACCAACACGAGGGCTAGATCGGATTCTGGCAGATGTTATCGGAATGCGCAGGACAACAAGAGCCAACATTCGAGATGTGGTTGCAGGCCCAATTGCCGGCTCATGTTGCGTACGTTGGAATCCCTGCCGCCCCCTCCCCATTTTTGCTGTTGGTTAAAATCCTGGTCAGGTGTTTGTTGCGGACGAGGGGGTGTGGAGTGGGACGCCTGGGTGCGGGTTCGGCCGTGCCAGCCACCTGTGCGGTAGATGCTGTGCAAGTCCGTCAACAACATAAACTAGGTCACACACAAGTCACCGTGCTTGCTCTCACCCTGCTGTGGAGAACACGGTAAACACCGTCGGTCACGACGGTCGGGCTGTCATAATTTGCAAGGTGATTATGATCCCTGGCGAATGGAATGAGTAGAATAGGTCTGTGTGTCGTCATGGCTGCATTTCGGGTCGATTTACTGATAACAGCCACAGGCGTTGTCATGCTCTACTCTGCTATCCTTCAGTTGGCTGCTTTTGCGGCACAACACATGATTAGCTTTCAAGCCATAAGAAGAAGAGGAAGACCCAATTGTTTAAGAACACGTGCTTGCATTCCTACAGGCGAAGCATTCAATATTTGTATTGCTTGGAAGTCGAAAACATCTCGGCCCATCGAAAAATCTCATACATAAGTGGCGCACTCGAATCTCTTCGTCGTTCTTAATGACCGACATTTACGCCATCGGGTCAAACTGGCATTCTTACTCCAAAATTAGCCGGCAGATGAGGCGAAAACAGCCTCTTCGAATTTAAGAGAGAGGAGGCTGGGTCTGAATCCCAGCTACAAATGCACGATTTCGGGACTTTTGCTTTAATGTCCACTTTGGTTTCCTTATATCCCGGTTAACTACTCGTACAACAGGTACTCCTTACTATTAGAAATCAACAGGAGTACAAACATGAAGGTAGACATCATTTGAGTTCAGACATGTCAACCAGGCTCGCTTGAGGGGGGAGCAGTTTCTTTGGTTTCGCTTACTCTGGCCGACGGGTCACACGCTTCAAGCTATTATACGCACTTAGTTTCAGCGGAGTTCCTCTTACGCGGTGCTGTCATCTCCTAAGACTACCGATCAATCGAAGGTAGGCGGCAAGTAAACAAACTACAATATTTACCTGGTGACGTCAGCAACTTCCTGATTTCGGGCACAATCCGTTTGTTACAATGAGCAGCGAGGGACTCAGCCATTTGAAACAGGCGTTTTGTCATAAAGCTCCCCTCAGTGTCGATAAAGACGGCTTCACCAGCGAGGCCTGAGCACCATCTGGGCAACTGGACTGTCAGGCAGGTTTGTAGGCTGGAATAAGCAGGCAAAAGAGAGACCTGAGAAGAAAACACTAAGGAAGGTCAGTAGGCGTTGTTTGGATGGCCTTACCATGACAAAGATAGCATTTTTGATCTGGTCAGGCTCTTACAACACAATAACTATCTTTGCACCTACCAAAACTGCGTTTTGCCTATTCCCGGTTGTCCACAGACCTCGGTAATGCGACCACAGGGGAAACCTCCATCCAACAGATCATCAAAGCTGTTGAGGGAAAGAATAAGTCAATCAACTGGATGTCCTTCGCTGGAATCCAATTCCTAATTTACGAAGAGAAAAGTATAGGCAGTGTATTACAAAGGTCCACGGCAAATAATGGCTGCATTTGTGAAAAGTAATATGTCCGATGCCTTTTGCCGGAAGAAAGTCATCGTGACTTCACTAATAATTCGGTTTTTCTAGTCGAAAGAAAATGTTTAATGCATATACACCGCAATGACCAATAACGACGACGTGGAGGGGTTCGACGAAGGTCTGATGGTCATCTCAGCTTCTGTTATGACAGTGGAAGAATTCGCTGTCCTTGGTGACTTAAACGTCCAAGTAGACACGCAGCATATCGTTTGGAGAGGAGTACTTGGTTGCAGAATACGGCGTTGTAATGGTAATTGATTCCCTCTGCTGCGGGCCTGCACAAGTTCGAGTTCGAAAGCTCAGGCAAATAAACCTATCGTCCCAGTGATCGTGCCTTCGCCTTCTTTTAAACAAGTCTTTATAGTCACCGACAGTATGTTTAGGCTTCCCGTGGATGCACCCTCGTTTTTGTCAGTGGCAATTGCCGGACTACGTGCTTGTCAGGCGACTGATCCTCGTGACATTCCCATAACAAAGACGGAACACAGTACCGAACGCCGGATAGGCCACCACCCGCTAATTAAGAAAATGAAGCCACAAACTTAACCACGGGGTAGGCCCCAAGGGAGGGCGGTACCAACAAAGATGAACATGGCGGTGCCGGATACATCTAAAAACAACCGGGGACTCCCCACCAAAATAGACACCAAACTGGACCAGCCTGGAACAATGGGAGATGAAAATGCTGAACAAAAAGGCCTGACTGTAAGATGTCATCCATTCTATTGTGTCTAAACTCATTGAAAGCCGTACTTCTAATGCTGTCGTCAACTATGAAAAACGCTGAGGAAAGTGCAGAAGAACCGGCTGATTCTCAAGGCTGAAGAGGTCGAAAGAAATGCCGATCTCACCGAAACGTCGCAGTAGCTTATTTCCGACAGAACAGCCCTGCTGTCGGATAAATCGCAGATAATGGAGCGAAGAGCCGGGCGCTTGGGATACGTCATCAAGAGTCTCTCTACATTCCGTGGGGAAGGTCAGCGATGGACTTTTCCAAGTGGAAACTAATACTGACCTCCATCACCCGTCCCCCTGCAGAAGATAATTAAAGCACTACAGCTCAGTGGATAAGCCACAGGCGGAGACCCATGACCATGACAGCTCTCAACTCACGGAAAACCGTACCTTGCTGCTCCAGTGGATACCATAGCACTGACAAGTCTTGGACGATTTTAGGAAACTGTCCTTGTTCACTTACACAGGCAAGCACAAAGGAGACTTACAAACCTGAGTAAATCACCGAGGGATGCCTCTTTTGAGCGTCACTGGCAAAGTCGTAGTTCCCATACTACCCAATTGTCTGAATTTATGCCTGAAAGGAGGACTTTTCGATAGCCAATGCGGATTTCGGGAAAATCGTGGAATCACTGATGTACTCCTTACGGCCCTACAACTTTGAAAAAACGCCACGATCAGTCTGTTTACCAACTTCAAAGATCACAGAAAGGCCCTCGGTACTGTGAACCGGGACGGTTGTGAAAAGCAATGAGGGGGATAGAGTGCCCAGAATGGTTCATGTTGATAACCAGTCGGCGTCACAGGTGGATCAACATCGGGGGCCTTCGTGATGACAAATGGGCCGAAACAGGGCTACGCCCCCACTTCGAAACTCTGTAACCTCGTGTTCCCCATAGTGCTGCCCGATGTTTATTGGGAGCATCGAGACAGTCAGGACAATGAGAAACAACTAGACATCTCCTTGCACTCGGACTTAATACAGTTATGATCATGTCTGATCTAGCCGGTCTCGATGATGTCGCGGATTGTACCTCTCTACGTGTGATGATCTGCGGCAACGAATAGGGAGAGCTCGACCCACTCTCTCCTCCAGCGACGGAGACTGGATACAGAAGGTTCGGAAACCACCTACATGTCTTGACGAATTATGTCGAGCCAGGTTTTGACTTGACCTCATCTCCGACGACTCCAGGGGGGCAACGACACGGACACGACGAACGACGTGCCTAAGTCACCTCAGCAGTTTTTCTTGCATGGTCTGATATAACCTCGCGATGTTGTCGCAGCGAGTGCGGGCTGTGTTATTTGAGACGAAGTCGATGTACTTCACTCGAGGGATGGTCCTCGGGCAGCAGTGGTTAAATACCTCAAGTCTTCGCTCATCTTCCACGTGCATAGTTCAACACTCACAAATGCAGAGGACTGACCGGACGGATGCACGGTACACGTGGATTTTCTGAGCGATGAAGATGTTGCGTCGCTTGCTACGAACTTTGGAAACACTGAGAAGCATCGATGCGGGAGGCAATATCATCCTTACTCTGCCCATTCGGCAGCAACCCCGCTCCGAAGTATTTGGAACTACCTATTTCTTCAAATTGAAAACTATTCTCCTGCTCAGGGAAGCATTCCGAAAACATTCTGGTCTTCCCACCGTTTAAAGATAATTCGCCCGTGACACCACAAAATGTAGATCACCAAAACTCAAGGTTGGCAGAGCAATACCGTACGTAGGTAAGAATCCTCGATGGGCCAGGATACATGACACCATATTTTCGGACGATTGTCCACTGAGAATCACAACAGCGAAGCATGAACTTTACCCCTGGGTGTACTAACTTCTAACTAAATATCCAACCATGTAAAATGGTTATCTTGCGCCAACCAGCACCAACTGTTGGACATGTCAAGCCCAAGGCAATAGTCAATGGCAATCTCCTGGTTGGCACTTTCGCACGACTACTTAAATCGACAACAAAGTTGTCATTCGAGTCTCTAACGCCAGCCAGCCGCAGATCCCAGCGGCAGACCCCAACCAGACCGCAGCCAGCGGCAGACCCCAACACCTAACCTGGAATAAGTCGCCGTGGCGTTCACTTCAACAAGAAACCCGAGATACACAGGGCCGCTGTCCGGACAACACTACTCTGTTGCTCGGTGACCTGGACAGTTTACCAAGGCTAAGTGAGAGAGGGAGAAAGAGGGGCCAAGAGTGTGAGAGATGCACAACCGTCGCCTAAGCTGTCTTAGAAAGATATTAAAAGTGCCAGAAACGCATGCCGAACATTCAGATCCTGGAGTTGACTAGTATAATGAGCACTTATGCCATGGTGAGTCAAATGTCACGTACACTTATCCTACCCACATCTGCCACCACATAGGTCTGTTGGGTCATTTGCGCATACGTGACAACAATGACTAAAATACCACCAGTCATTCATGCACACAATGTCTTCACAAATTTAGCCGCCTCATGAGTCAGTTTGATCCCAGGTCAACACACTAGGGTCAACTATCACTCCTACATCAACGCCAAGGAGAAACTTGTTGATGTCGGCAATGACGAACTATCACTTATGAGCATGTAAATATACAGTACGCGGTGGACGGTGACTATTCGCAACATCCGCCAATAAGCCCATTTTGTCTACTAGTCGGTCGGTGTATGGGAGTTGGGAAGGAGATTGAGACGCGCACTGAGGTACCCTTCCTCATGACAACTCAGCGCGTTTCTTATTATAGTAAATCTGGACAGCTTGAGCCTATCATCAGACACAAAGTCGTCGCCTGAACTCGGCCCTTCATTGGAATGAAGTTTATACAGCAAAGGTTCCTTCTTAGCATTGGCTTTGTGGCAAAATGAATTGCAAGAAACTCAATGCTAACATAAGGATGAGGGGAGGAACGAATAGTATCATGCCGTTACCTCTTGCACATGGATACAATATGTCCAGAATCCGTTGAAGACCCACTGATTGCATCACCGATCTTGTGACCTTCGAGTTTTAACAACTCGAGTGCAGTGTGAGGCTGAAAAAGGTCTCTGGTGGTTGATCCGACCGACCCGAAAACTACCAGCTTCGAATAGTTTTGAAGAATTTCCAGCACGGAAGTTGCCTTTTGTCTATGAATTCCACAGACTTCACATAAACAGAAGAAATGTTTACATGGAAATTTTAAGAAACACCGAATATACGGGAACTGTAATCTTCCAAGCATTAAGCTTAGGTGCTTCCATAATAATTGTCATTAAAGGAAATAACTTACGTGACGATATTTGATCCACACTAAGTCCGCAAGCCTCGCCAACACTTGTGTACCCAGATCGGATAAAGGCACGTAACACTTGAGTAGGGAGAGGGAGAGTGACTAGCTCGCGGAAATCAGGATCAGTTAACATCTGTCGTCATACTAGGTGACGAATACAATGAACACACTAAATTAAAAAGGTTACAAAGAAAAGCCACATCGGAGCATAAAATTCAACCTTAAAAATGGACTTTACGCCAGACTTTCGAAGCGACTTTAAAACCAGATAATGTTTTCATCACAAAGGGGCGTTAATTGTGCGCTAAGGTGTGTTAGACTCGACAGTACCTATTTCGAAAGTTGTTGGCTTGGTTACATTCAAGGAGATTCTGATGAGCGACAAAGAATGAGCACCTATACCTAGCAGAATTGATCGTTGGTAACACAGAGTTTGTCCCGAAAAGGCATTTTCAATACGTCAGAAATTCGCAAGCTATAAGAGGAAAAAGTTTGACAAGTGCTGCAATATTGAAACTGTTGGCTAGATCAGTTCGGGTGAAATCCAAATGGCTATTTAATAAACACTGAATAGATTAATCTACCAAGCTTTATAGAAACTGTAGTTTATGCGGGTCAACTGTGAGACACAGATAACGAACTTAATCGTTATCACGTCACATACTATTTCCAGTACCAACATATTTGCAAATTTCTAACAGTTCAATACGATTAACGAATGGGCAGCACGTACTCGGAATCGTCCCAGCACTACCTAGTCACAGAATGGGATTCAGTAAATTTTCTCGGGTGAGTGGTATTGTGGAATACTGGGTTAGATGCATTCTATTTGTAGTCCCTTATAGGCAGCAGTGACTACGGCCTGCGTATGGCCTTGGATAAACGGCTACGGCATATGCTTTAAATAAACTTCAAAACGACGTCACAAAATAGGACAACGCGCTTAAATAATGATCAGATAGAGTGAGGTCGGCAACGTAACCATGCGACCGGATTTTGCGATTTCTCAAGCGCATTATTGGTAGTGGTGATTGTCTGATGTCCTTTTTGTTGTTATTTCGGATATCAATCTTGACCAAGCAGTTCTCAAAATTAATGGTAGAATACGTGAATGATCATGAAGATTCACAGGGCTATGGTACATCCGCGGCCACTAGTCCCACCCGTCGCATTATAAGGGCTCCATGCGTAGGACTGCAGTAAAAGGAGACTTTTTGGACGCCGAGCAAAAATCGCTTCGTAATGCTAACTTGGTTTGCGCACCTTTTGTATGCAACCTTCCTCAAAGATCGGCATCCAACCACACCTGAGGGCATAAGCTTGGCATGGTTTATGGGTACTCGTCGGTCAGAAACGGGAGCCCAATTATTTCATAGCTAAAACCTGTCAAAGATCGTCCAAACGACTTTTGAACGCGCCTGATAAGCTGCGGCAAAAAAAAACAAACAGATCTTGTTATCTCGGGGTTCCTGTCGCCCAGAAACGAGCATACGCGACAAAGTGCTCGTCGTCGTTGTAAACAGTAAGGTTTTTCCATGAAGACAGGAAAATGACTAATTGTTACTGCACTACCGACATTGTCTGGTTGTTTTAGTGTGGACATCATCTTCTGAAAAGCCATGGGAAGAAATTCGCATTAACCCACATTTGTTTACGTCACCATAACTATCGCTAGGCTGTCGTCACAGGCTTCGCCAACTTTTTCACAAAGTGGATCCGACTTTGTCAAGTTGATCCCTAACTATCCTATAGCTAACAGATTCTGACGGCCAAGAGAGAGTAACTGCCAAATAAGAAGCTTGATTTCTAATGCTAACACTAGGCAGTCCAAATTCTATGGCCCAGTTACCAACGAACCGGCGAGCTACATCTTACAAGAGACCAGGCTGCTCAGAGAGCACTGGATTTTGTTCTTATTCAGACCACTACGACTTGGGGAAGGAATTCGTCAGCGTGTTGACGGAATCGCGTGGAGGCGAGTTGAGGGCTAAAACCTAGTTAACGCGAGGAATGACAGAGGAGACGTCTATCTGCAGGGGTATGCCGATCGATGTTGTTGGTCTTTTAAAGTTTATGGCTGCTCGGTCGTGAACAAATAGCATTGTGGTGTACTAAGGTGAAAGGCATTACAAATCCCCGTATGCCAATGATAACACAAGGGGCTTAGTTTTAAAATGAAGCCTCAACAAATATAGGGTTAGCAGAGGCTCGACCACTTGTGTGTTCACATTTAGTCTAAAACTCAAATTTTGACCCAACACAAGAGGCGTGGCGCGCACTTCGTCGATGGTCCGTGTGACGTGCAAACAACCTCCCGTACTAGTTATCATTGTTTTAAGGCTCTCTACTTATGCCCGCAGAAATTGGTGCGGTCGATGTTGGAGAAAAAATATTTTACAGAGACTCACAAACAGCTACCGCGACGTAAAATGGGTTGGAAACTTGGTGAGTGACATACCGGCAAGTGGCTGTCAGTAAAAGCGAAGGCACTCGACTAGACCTCGTAAATGAGAACCTTCAGTTACGAAATCAGCAGCCTGCGGACCATGCCGGATAATGGAGCTGGTGAGCAGGCGACTACTGTCACCCTAGTAGCAACCCCATAGTGAAGCGGCAGCGCCCCGCTGTGGAAAAGTCGCGATAGGTATGAGCGATTTATGGCAAGGGTGCTCCTGACTCATACGAGAAACATTTGGGAGATTCAGTGGTACGATCTAATCTCGTTAGGACCATGAATGCAGAGGCCTAAAATAACATCAGTCATCCAGAATTCTGTGATGTTAACTGCAGCTGCCTTCCACACGACTCAGATATGCGGGAACTAAATCCTCAATACGGATAGGGTACTGTCCTTATTATGCAGCAGATCTGCATAATATAGCGACCAAATCAAGTCTTGAAGACTGCTCAGATGAGACCTACAAGAAACAAATAACTTCTAGCCCATAACACTTCGCGAAGATCTCTTGCAAGCGTTCCACATTATAAAGGGGTTGAATTGTAGCCTGGCCTTCGAGGACAACCACGACCAACCGCCCAAGTCACCCGTTAGAACTGCGCACTCAGCAGGAAAGGCTGACTGTGCGGAAGTTCTCCTTTTCTGTCCGAGTGTTCAAGCCATGCAATGCCCTACCCGCAGATGTTGTGATGTCACCATGAATACAAATCTCTAGAAAGAACCTTAACCTCATATTTTGAAATGATCAAGAGCGATGAGAGGTAGAGCCCATCCCCTGTAACTCGCTCCCATTTTGTCCCATCACTATGGGTTTGTTTAAACTATTTCAACCCATAAAATTTTGCTGTGCACCACACATTTTTACGTTGCAAATAGGGTACTCAAAGGCTTACGCCTATTTCCCTCAATAAACTGAACTGAACGGAACTATCTATTCCAGGCGACCAACTGGCACACCAATAAACGCGCCAGCTGACGGATTATTGCCTTTTCCGCATTACTTTCAGCCTAGTAAAAGTTGACTGACGTTTTTAACGTAGTGAATGTAAATGTGGGGAGTTTGAGCATGCCATGATTTTTACCTATTGTATAACTAGTTAGGTCTCCTTTGCAGCGAAGTAACAGGAGCTTATGTCTCAGCCTAACACTTAACCCACAGCAAAATGTTGTTTGGCTGAAATGCGCAGGTAGACTAAAGGTCAGACTATTTACAAGGCAAATCATAGCAGAAAAATCTGTGCGGACCAAAAGACAAAGAACAGCAACCGTTGCTTTAGCGATTGCATCGTGATTTATGAAAAATATTCATACATCGAATGCTGTCACCCTACAGACAGTTATGCAAGTTGGGAAGAATAGGAATTAGAGGTAACCTCTTCAAGTAGACAAAAACCCTCTTACGAGTCGGCATCGGATAATCGTCGCTTAGAAGAAATCGGGTTTCGGCCTGCTCTAGAGTAGGATTTTCCAGGTCCATTTTGCTCCCAATGTACGCGGACAATTTTGGCGGATTGAACTGCAAAACGGGTATGTTCGCTGGCCAAATAAAAATTCGGGATGTAATCCAGAAACTTACCGATGGAGACAGACAGCAGATTAGACTTAATTAGTTGGACTATGGGTCAAGCTGTTGCTTGTTGCGGTTAACTTCAGCAGGTATAGCATATCTCGCCCAAGCAACCCAGCCATATCCGTCAGCAAAATAAAGTATTTTTAGGTAGCGCAGCCTTACAAGATGCAGAGGCAAAATTCGCTTGCTTATTTTTCAGAACACAAGTGCAAAATGTCCGTATGGTTCACTGTTAAGTGAGAACTTGAAGAACTTCGACAAATTTTTCTTTTTCGGGATCTTTAGAACATTCAGAAGGCCGCATTAGGAACTCAACAAAGAATCTTGGAGGTCGCAGTCGGTCAAAGATGAATAGTTCGATTAAGTTCCACTGAAACGGTAAAGACACTAAGCTCCTTTCCCAATGCAACTCGCTCAGCACATCTGAACCTCTTTCCTTTGAGTTATAATGCAAGTACACAGGGATTTCTTGCAAGCATTAAAGCAATTAGATTTCACTCTGGCATTTAGTAAATTTTTGGTTTAGCACTCACGATCAAAGGCGAAGGTCACTAATGAAGCCGCGCGTTTGTCTCGTAAGACCTAGGAAATGCAAGGTATGCAGACCACTACGAAATAAATAACTTCCTTGAATCAATCAGGGTGATCTACTGTACAACAGACAAAGGATCCGCATCGCTTCTCAACTCCGCTGGGACGACACTTCCGATATAGAAATCGCAAGTTGCAAATACTTAGTTGGAGTACTTCAAAAGTGACGCATGTCGCCAATTTAGGATCTCCGACGTGGATATCGACCTAATTTACGAGTGAGGCGAAAGATCACGCTGAGCTCCTGCATTTCTTCGCAAAAAGATCAGATCTGTGAACCAACTGTCTTAGGGTAAAACACCAGCATCCTGCCCGATCCTGGTTGAATTCTTCAAGTTTGACGGGCCCCGATTGATGCATCGCCTTATAACGCTCTCCCAGGACATGTTCCTCCGGATTTCACTGATGTAACAATCGCACAGGCTTACGAGCGAAAGCAAGCGACCAACTCTGTGATGGCCATAGTGGAATTCCGCTGCTGAACATCACCGGGAAGGTTTTCTCTCGAATCCTC